AGAAAGAAAGAAAGAAAGAAAGAAAGAAAGAAAGAAAGAAAGAAAGAAAGAAAGAAAGAAAGAAAGAAAGAAAGTGGCAAATAGCAAGTATGTATTGGTCTCCTATACATACCATGTAACCAATGGATGATACACAGAAGTTGTGGGTGATGTTTGTACATCAACAGAACTTTTAAATATGTCTATGTGGCTAATCATTAGATAAGCCTTTTATTTCCAAGCACACCAGTAACAATTATCACCACATAATCATGAAATCGGTGACTTGTATAATACCAGACAAAACTTAAACTAAGTATGCTTTTTTTTTTGTTTGATTGTCTGTATGGTTGTTTTCACATGTGTGAATGTGTGTGTGGCAATGACAATATTTCGTCCATGCTAAACTAGATTTTACAAAACTAATTTTTGTTTTAATGTAGATTAAATGCTTCAAAGAAAATATTTCCTCTTTTTTTAATTAAAATTTTGAATTTCTATTTTATATGAATAGATAACTCCATTGTATATCTCCCTTTCCCACTGAGACGACCCACACCTAATACTTTCTGGATGTTGGAAGCATGCTGATAAGTTAAAATACAAACATCTGTCAAAACTTTCTTTAATAAGCATTTGCATTATCATGTTTGCTTGAGAAAGTATGAAACTAACCTTAAAAATGACTACAAAATTGAAGTGAGAGACTTTGATAGTGTATAATGTGAAACGTAACCAAAAACAACATATGGCAGAAGCATAAGTAATTGCAATGGCGACTCAAATCCTCTCAGTCAGCCAGCTAAGGTGAGAAAATTTCAGTTGAAACACACTAAGGCACACACGCTTGTGGCCCAGCTCCTAAGAAAATTTTCAGTAACAATAAGAAAATTGACTTGAATCATACTGCAAAGTTCCCAGTGCCTCATAATCAACAAGAAGCTACACAAATTCTTTACAAACTGCAGGAAAGAAGGAATCAGGAAGGAATGAGAGACTGTAACTGACCACACTGACTATGCACTATGGCCAAGAACAAAGGCGAGCCAGCTGCAGTAGTGGCAGAAAGCCTCTATAACAAGACAAAGGAAACACACAAACCGAGACTGTAAGACCACTAATTACTCTTCGCTCTGCCTTAACAATTTAATACAAGGTAAGAAATCTATCTACAATATAAATCTGGCAATTATCCTATGGGAAAACACTGTGCCCATTTATTTATTATTACTAAGGACACAGAACATCAATGACAATAACCTCCCAATATATACATTAGCACTACTAACAATAACACCTAATTCCACATTACATGTATTAATATTATATTACATTAACCTAAGTCTTAATAATAACAGTAATAGTAATCAAATTATACCATGGTGTTCAAAACCCATACAATTCTATAATATTTCCTAATAAAAAGCTATTCCAAATCATTCACAGAACTAAACCAGCATTCACATCTTACCTAATTGGTATCCTATGCCTAGCAATCCAACACTATGTAGACTATGAATAAACAATTATCACAGTTACAAGGCAACTGGTGGTGGTATTTATAATTTTTAACGTAACTTTAACAATTTTTCAGTCATATCGCTATGATATCTGCAGTGTGTTAGTTTATAGTGATGTCTAGCACTGGGACATCATGCCGCAGACATGTAGCATTATGTCCCACCCAGTCACATTATCCTGACACCAGGCCGACCAGTCCTAACACTAACCTCTTTATGCTGAGTGTCAAGTGAGGCAGCTGTTAGTACCATTTTTGTAAGTCTTTGGTATGATTCGACCGGGGATTGAACCCACGACATCCAAGGCAACTGACACCTGGGTATTTCAAATAACAAAATTAACACATTGCTATATTGTTATTACATTGTAATATATAATCCTAGGTAGATACTAGTTTTGCACTGTTCGTGGTCAGTTTATTTCATCTATCTCAATCAATCCCTGACACATGTGATCCCTTACCCCAATGTCCCAAAATATTATAAAAGATATATATATATATATACACACACACACACATATACATACATACACACTATTTCTTCTATCATCATTACCCTCCAGCTCATTGACAGAAAATAATCAAACCGAGACTGGGAGACGACAAAAGACCATAGATAGGCAATGGGGGAATACAGCCTGTGTTGCCCATAGATTTTCTACCAAGAACCCCCTTCCCCCCACCCACCAACCTCTTCTCACTCATCTGCTACTTCTATATACATGGGAGGCACTTCCATTGGCAACTGAAGGCCTCGCTCGATAACACCATCATACCATGACCACCCTTTGGTCACTGCCATAAAAAACAACAACTAACATTGACAATGCATGATCCTAAAAAATAAAGGGGGGAGGGGGCTGACATCCGGATGATTGGTACAATTTTGCCACTAAAAAGTATGTTTAGTATATGAAATTCCAACTATACAAGGATAAATTAAGCAATCTACAACTCAAAAGTTAAGTCAATTACACAGGTGGCTCACACTATATTGGGGATAGGAAATGTCCACTAACTCAACTGGACAGAATTTAACACACAAGTCAGTCTGGGCATTTTGGAGCATTTACAACATCAGCAGTTGGTATCCCCAACCAGGTCCTTTGCACCTCCTGACAGACAATTAAAAAGTATGGTTATCGTACGTAAAAGCTGAGTTTCTGTAGCACCATCCCTAAAACACCGACCAACTAAAAAGCTCAACAACTAAGCATTAACGAGTTGTGAAAGCTCCTAGATATAATAATCGATCTAAATCCTTATCAGTCAGTTAGTCAAAAACAACAGATGAATGACCTCTACTTTACTCTTTTTCTGTCTCAATTTTTATACTTGCCCATGGGCATATACCTTACAGACCTTGAATTTAAACTTGGTCCCAGGCATCATGCAAATAATCTGCCCCGTTTTAAGAGACAATATTCATGATTTTTGGCAAGATGAAGAATAATGACTTCTACACATTGCTATAGATTGAAACTGTAATAGAATCCCATTACTTAAGAAACAATTTACAAAAAAACTTACCAGCTGAAAACTTAAGCAGATCTTCCTTATCCACCTGTACTGACACTTCTTCACGATTTTTGGCAGCGTGTCTATAATTATGAAGCTCAGAACTCAGTTTTTCTACCTGGCTTCGGAGTTCTTCATTATATTTCTTGGCCTTTTTCAGTTGATTCTCTGTCTTGTCTAATCGGTTGTAAGCTTGCTCCAAGTCACACTTGTATTTTGCAAGTTCTGTCTTTAAGTCTGATATATTTTCATCCAAGGAGTTTTCCTCCGATAACTCGTCCTTCAGATCTAATAGTAGTTCATCTACTGACTTGTCATTATCACTCATCTCTGAAAATTAAATTGACCACTGTGTAAGAAATGATTTTAACTTAAATAAAATAATACTTGGTATATTTTTATGCTTTAGATTCACAGAAGGAATCTTCTTGGGGATTCGGAACCATTCACAAGGTCACCCAAAATTGTCCATTATAACAATGAGTGTAAAAATTAAGAAAATTTAAAATCAATTGGATGCCTTACAAATTACCATATGGTATGGATATGACAGTCAAAATAAGGTGATCTAATTATTTACCTGTTCAAGAATCATTTATTTGCAATACTTTTTGAAGTACCAGCATGTAATATTTTTAAACATTTCCAATTCCATGGACACTGAAACTCCATCATATTATCCACTGTGTACCAGTACTATACTTTTGTAAATACAGTCCATCCAATTTAATGCCAAAATGAACCCTATTAATTTTAATTAGAAAATATATCCAGCAAAATGACAAAATGCCAAGCACAATGAAATAAACCCAGCATATAAACATATACTAATGCAATCCTCATTACACTCTCTAATACCTCTTTAAAACCAGATTATCTTTATATGCCTTGTCAGAAAATGTTTACATATTGTACAATCACATTTCATTCTTTATTACAAAAGCTGCACTGGAAAAATCCATTTCCTGGCTGCCCAGGTCAATTTAAAAACTCTGCAAGTTAAGTTATGTTTACAATTAGCATTGCTCAGTTGGGTAAGCTTTATTTTTCACTTAATATTTGTATGTTCTTTCTGTTTGTATGAAAGCACATGCATATTTGTTTACACCTCATAATGTGATCTGCAGACACTTTCATCAAATCAATATCAAATATTTTTTTAACCTAAATAATCCCCATTTCAATCATGTAACTGTTGCAGTGTTCCTCCTCAATGTGAGGATTTACAAAAGCAGTTGTTGGCTCCTCCATCATGGGTACATTTGTGTGAGAAAGCTTGCCAATAGCTTCCCAAGAGCTTGTTGTTCTTCATGAAATCTTCTTTGGTTATTCCTCCACAATAAAAATTAGGTATACAAATGTGTTCTCATTGCTTTGTTGTGTTGTTTTAATATATTTACAAATAGGAATAAGCAGCAAGTAAATGGATAAACATACAACAGTTACCTACAATAATAATAACAACAACACTAATAACAACCACAACCAACAGACCAAAATCTTGGGCTAGTCATTTATACATTTATAGGTACCATAAAGCACAAAGTAATAAATACACTTCACTTATTACATCCAAACAATTGCATCAACATTCTGATGGAAAACATGTGAATCTGATGTCTTCAAACTGAAACTTTACAAAATTAAAGTAAGAAAGACACTCAAATTTGCAGTTGATATTTATATATGGGGGCAATATAATGATAATTATTTTTTTATAGTTTAAAAAAAAACATGTTCAAAGATATGATGTGATAAATTTTAATGTAGCTTTAACAATTTTTCAGTCATATTGCTACAATGTCTGCAATGTGGCAGTTTATAGTGATGTCTAGCACTGGGGCATCATATTGCAGACATGTAGAATGATGTCCCACCCAGTCACATTATCCTTACACCAGGCTGACCAGTCCTAACACTAACCTCTTAAAGCTGAGTGTCAAGCAAGGAAGCTGTCAGCACCATTTTTAAGTCATTGATATGACTCGACCGGGAATTGAACACATGACCTTCCGCATCTGAGGCGAATGCTCTAACCACTAAGCCAACAGAGCATGTTCAAAGGTATTTTTGTTCAGAAATTTTTATTTCTGGTCAAGAAAAGTTAAACAGTGGTAGACAAAGCAGGGAAAAAATGAATTTTTTCCAGTCCTGAAAAGGCAACTCCGAGAGCCCAAAACCTCTCATCTTAGGAGTTTCAATCTTGAAAGCTTTTATTTTATTCAAAATATATTATGAATAACACTGTTAGCTGATAAGATTGGTAATGCTAAAATCTTTGTAAAAAAAATCTGAAAGAGCATTTAATCTGCATCGTTCATATTACATGTATTGAGGATTTGAAAATGGCAGTAGCATATAACCAAACAGCCAATATGCCCCCCATAAATTTTAGTTTGATGCATAATTATTTGGATCCAAGAAAATCACAAATGAGAGAGAGAGAGTAAGAAACATCAACAGAATGCTTTCAGGCACCTGCCATTCATGCATAATATAGTGTTAGGTGCAAAATAATCAAGATTGCATTATATCCAGGTTAATATATCACAGCATCTTGCAAATATAGATCAATAAATGTTTTTGAAAATACATGTACATGTTTATTCACTCTGAGTACAAATGACAATCCTTTCCCTAGCATAGGTTACAAAGAGTATTATTAAAACAAGTGGATGTTGAGTATACTATTTACCCTGCAGGCATCAATGCAAGTTTGTAACAATTATGATTCCAGATGACAAACAAATAGATGCCCCAGTGGTAAATTAACATATCCAGTAACTAGCAGTAAACTAATTTTTGAACTTACTGGCAGGATATGAAATACAAAGGTTATTTTATTGCAAAGCAAACCTGCCATGGAAACTGACTCTGGATTCTTTTAAGTGTGCTGATTCTTTTATTCCTTTTGGGTTTTTTTTTCAGCCAACCTTTTTACAGGTATTTACGGGAATTTGAAAATAAATTCAAGACAATGGAAGCCAATTTTTCTCCCTGACCAAAAGAAGAGATATTACAAATAAGAAAACAAAACAAAATTAAGAAGAACTCAAGCTTGAAAACTAAATTATGAGGCCTTGACCATCATTGTATAGAAGCCAAGTGCCTGAGATTATCCAATCCCGTGCATATATTCAGGCATATATATAGGGTGATATTCTGCCTAGTAATACAGTTCTTCTGTTTATTTTCTGTTGACAAGTACATGTATATGCTGTTTCATGAAATGGCTGAATGCATTAAAAAATGCATAAAAAAGTGTCTCCAGAAATGAACATAAGTAAGAAAACAAGTGCTTTTGAATCGTTCATTACAAATCAGCATCAGATTAAACAAAAGCAGACTGATATTACTTCATATTTGCTAAAAAAATATACTACTATGCAGATCATAATGTTCATAATTCCTAGATATTTTGAAAATATTGCTGACATGTTTGGCTAATTTGTCATAAAATACTTTAAAATGAATCATGATATTACGTGCATATGGAACAATTTCATGACTTTTGAATATTCAGGCTATCAGCAATTTTCCGCCTGCACATTGATTATTGATTTAATTACTTTATCTCCTGAACATTGTTTCTTTATACATGTATTTCCAAACACAATTTAGATCTGAAATGTACCTTAAGAAACAAAAGGTAAATATATAGTTGTCATGTAGCTGATGTCTATGAATCTGCATTTTTGTAAAATAAAGTTACATTGTAATTTGTGCACTCTTGACTTTGTAAACCCTTGAATATTTTATGCAGTATACATGACATATTCTTAATAAACTAATAGATTATTATAAGCTACTCTTAGAAACCAAAAATAGAAAGGATGCTAAATGAACCCGTGACTATGGCTGTAACTTAACAAAATTGTATGTGAAAATCAATCGCTTTTGCTGACCATTTCTTGTATAATTTCTGCGAGATTGACGTTAAAAGATTGCTTATTGTCAAATTAAGCTGGTCCACATCACTTTGGACCGAAACTTATGCACGACATAACCAGATTATCGACTTAACAGAGGTCAAGATAAGCTGGCAAAAAAATGGCATAATAAAGGATTTTTTGAGACTGGACCAAAACGATAGACATATGCGGTTTGTGAAATAACCAATGTCGAGATAAGTGGGTTTAACTATATATGCAGCAGACTAAAGTGAAAAAAAAAAAATAAATAAAAATGGTGCCAGACATCCTTGGAAAGAAAAAGATAGACGGTATCAAAGTGAGTGTTAGATGTTATATGACTAAAAGGTATAGGAGGAGAGGGATTTTGTTAAACTTAAAATAACATGTTGTTCTGGACAATCACTAAGGGACGAACTATGGCAGGTTGTGGATACTACTGTAACAGTAGTTTTAAAGTGAGTGTTATGCATAAATAATTTATCAATTTCTTTTGTGTCAATACTCTTATATTAACAACTAATGTACACAGATTTAGCTGATCTGTAAAAAAAAATTTGAACTGCAGCTCCAGGTAAGCATCAAACAAATGTACATTAAATAAAATAAATATGTATCCTTTTCATATCAATTTCTGTAGTTATGTCATGTAATATATAGATTGCTCTTTAAGTTCAGATTACACTTTCCTGCCACTTATATTAGTAATAAATAAAACTTATACCTTTTGAGGTTTGGCATGTGTGAACCTACAACAAAGCAGTTCATTTTCACATATAATACAATTTTTCTTTGATTGGGTATCTGATCGTTAGGATTGGTGGATATCCATAAGAAATTTCCCAAAATTCTGAAATCTCTATCAATGACCTGTATGAACTTTATTATTGACTGAATATAGTTTACATACAGGTCATTTATTATTGATGCAGACCATATGAAGTGATGTTGTACTTCATAACTTATGGATAAAAAAATGCAATCCAAATTTCCTCAAGGTGTCAGTCTGCATCTACTAGGTCCTGGGATGAATATGCAGCAAAATTTAACTTGGCCTTGCCAGTTTATACCCCAAAGAGGATTAAAAGACAAGCAAGCTTGATATAACTGCTTGATATAATATGTTAAATATTGCTATTGTATATTGATAATAACATGTTAAATATTGCTATTGTATATTTTTAAAACATTACGCAAACCCAAATATATGAAAACAATATTATTAAACACTAACCAACTATGTCTGAGCATTTACCTGTTATTTCTACATTGAAACGTGTTTATGTATACTTGTATTTCTACACTATTCATCCCATTCAAAATCTAGTCATTCCGTTTAACACGGCAATATGAAAATCAACCGTCATTATGTTCGTTCCCTACTATAGTTAGTATGCCATCTTTTAAGTAAAAAATATATAAAAATCGGTAATGACAATTTTGAATGAAACAGGTTCAACCGCTGTATCAATTTGATCTCATGTTCACATATGCAACCGTCTGCTAGCGAATAGTGTTTGCTTTGCCTTCAAGAGGGCGCACTGACAATTTATGGATACTTTATGTATGGTAGATTTCTGAGAGTTATTATAACCCCAAGATAACCATTAACCAATATTCTAAATTTGGAATTTAACAAATATATTCTATTTTATAGTTTTAATTTAGGTAGAAAATGTGGAACAACGTTTAGTTTATTAACATTTCATAATCTATCTACTTTTGATTTATCTCTATTAACACATGGTCCCCAAATCATGTGACTGTTTGAAAAATGGCTGATAGTACTAAAGTTAAGGAAGTTCAGATTGACAATTATATTCGATGTTTTTTGTACAAATTTCGTAAAGAACTGAACACAGATCTTATTCGAAATATACATCAAAGTCTAATACATTGTATGATAATACTCGAGCTCACTGATGGGTCTGTAAATCTGATTAACCTCGTCGATCAAGATAAAGAGTTTGATTCGCTGCATTACCATAGGTTTGTATCAACACAGGAGTCTGCAGTTTTATCAATAAAGCACGACTAAATTTCTGACAACATGAAATCATCCTAACGATAATATAAAATAACACAAGGAATGCAAGCGTGACCACAACACTCCACTCGATTCGAATTTTCTCACGCGTCAATTATCCATTCACAATCGCACGAAGACTGAAAAGCTACACATATCTATTAAAAATACGGTAACGTACCTTCGCATCACTCTCGGACGACCAATTGCATGAATCCAATCCGGCGAATTACTCATTATTTTCACCATTGGTGGCGCTCACCAGTTATTATGTACTTGTGAGAGAGTGATGTATATAAGGTTAAGTTGTTTGCATGTTTAACATGCATAGTAAAGAGAATGTTGGTATACCTATATACTACTTTCATGTAATATGGCTGAAATGTCTTTGGATAATGTATTTTTGGAAATTTTAAATGATCCTAGGACACTGCTAACTAAAGTGACTGCTCCCTTGTGCTCCAAAAATCAACCTAAATTTGTCTAAAGTACACTCTTCTTGGCAGCTATAAAAATATGGAAAATGAATTTTGCCAAACTAGACAATACCAGCTTCTAAAAGTGCAATGAATGAATTACCAAATACATAAAATGTAAAAAAATGTTATCGGCTCTATTTTTTACAATTTACCTCTGAAGTTCGAGAAGTTAAGATGAGCAAGTAGAGCTAGCACTTTTTTGAAAGGTGCACATCTGGAGTAAAGCCAAGCTGTATACTCTCTAACCCATATTACACCCATCAATCATACATCAAAATAAAGGGAATTAAAGGTCCTTTGAACAATACCTAAGATATACAAAGTCTCTTTTAAATAGCCAGTATAACTAGTGAGGAAACCAGGGGAAACTCTTTTTCTTTAAATTCTAACCCTATGCTAAAAACGAAACTGTAGAGCGCCACCATTACGGTCACAAACCCTGGAAAAATTAACCATTGGAGGAAGTAGCCAATTTCTACTAGTGTCTACTCTGCAGTAAAAATGAGTTAGGGTTTAATAATTGTTCCGAACACGGTGCAGAATCTGTTTTCTTTATATATTAGGGAAATTTAATAATGCGGACTGCATCAATTAGTTGAATTTGCTCACAATAATGAATGCATCACGAAAATGTTATTA